GCTATGGCAGGCACCACTGTAGTATACATGATAGTGGCACATAAGGCCTGGGTAGCTTTCCTTGAACAACCATCCTCAGAAGGGAGTTAACATCTAAAGTCACCTCTACCTGTATAGTGCCAGTACTCAGTGCCACTGTCTCATGCTCAGTTGAGTGAGACTGAGAAATTCTCTCATTTCCCTTGGGAGCTAGTCTCATCTTGGCTGGTGCTGTGAGTGGTTTTGTGCATAGAGGTTCCAAAGTAGACAGTAAATGTGTCTTGTTTAAAACTTATAGGGAGGAAGGAAATCTCAAATCACAACTTTCGTTTTCTGATGTGATTAGACTGACAGTGGAATCTCTGTTTGTCCTATTCGGAACTGCAGCTGTTGTAGCCTTCAGGGATTCCCAGTACAGAATGCCCAAACCAAATAAAGAGAAGAAAGAAAAAGACATGGGATGACATGTTCAGTGAGATCCTTCAAGCCAGTGCTGTGTCAACTGTGAGCACAGGGCCTGGAGAACAAATACTGCAGACTATACAGAGAAGGAAAAAAAGCAGACAGGAGAAAAGCCCACCAGTCCCAGCAGAAAAAGGAAGATGCACCAGGACATAATGGGACTTCTCCAGTACTAAAACACAGATGCTGCACACTCTTGTAGACTTACTGATTCAACAATCACAGCTCAGATGACTCCATTTTAGCACCTTCCTCTATCCTGCCCATCTCAACATTCCAAATGGTTTCAGGGACTGCGTTACTATCCCTATTATGCCATAGCAGGGGACAGAAAGAACAACCAGAGTTTCACATATGCTGACCTTTGAGCCACAATTGCTGTATGTGTAGCCAAAATTGACATGACTGTTCTTTCCCTTTACGGTCTGTTCCATTAGTTTTTAAGGTATCATTTGGTTTCAACTTACAGATTTTTTGTGTTAGCGGTTTCTATTTTTTTGGAAAAATAATCTTTAGTTTTGAACATGTGCTTTGGAATACCTAGCAGTACTGAAATAACCCCTTTATTTGTTATCATAGTGTGTGACAACTCTGAGGATCAGAGACCAGCACATACTAATAGTCACAAATATACAACAAGCACCATAAAGTGAATAGGTGCACTGACTGTTTTATTCACACATATACACCCAGGACAATTCTTAATGGGTCCCAAAACTGCATAGCCAGCTAGAGCACAGTCCAATTCAATTCATCACTGTTCCTCACTGTTTTAGTGATCTCTCAGGGCATCCCTGACCTGTATAGTGTTGAGTGGAGCTTTACTGATAGTTCTGAGTCTGGCTGTCTGACAGCCACAGCAACTTTTCTCCCTTTGCTTCACTGATATTATGTAGGAGACAGCAGGCAATTATATCCATTGGGTTATAGTTTTCACCAATATTTAATCTTTGGAACTAACAATGCCAGCATCCCTTCAAATCTACCAAAAGAGTATTCAATGGTCATTCTGCACCTGTGGAGCTGGTGGTTGAACTTTCCTTTATTCTGTCGAGGTGGCTGGCATTCAGCATTATGAGCCAGAGAAGCAAGTAATAGGCTATGTCCCACAGGACCACTACTAGCATTTCATCATCACCAATGGTAATCCTCTGGTTTGGAAAGAAAGTCCCTGCGTGTATTTTCTGAACAATCCAGTGTTCTTAAATGTGAGAGCATGATGTATTTTCCCAGAACAGTCCCCATTCATGCTGGTGGTAGATCACTGGGGTTGCTTCAAAGTTTGAATAAATTACAGAAAAATAGCCCTTTCTATTGATAGACTCTGGGGCAAGATGGGCTGGTGCCAAACTAGGGATATGCATGTCACAAATGTGGGAACCCCACTGCCAAGAGTCACAGTTCTGTGCAACAGGAGACAATTAATGGCTCTGCACATTTATATGACAATGGCTCCCATTGCGGATTTCCACACCGCCACTGTCAATGCAACTCCCAGGGTGAACTCTGCACGTAGATCCAGGAACACAGGCTTGCATGTCTGAAATGTCTGCAGCCACTGCTCATTGTTCCAAGCCTACAATATGATGCAATGCCCCAAGTCGGTGCTCCGGCCCATAAGCAGCACCCCACCATCAGCAGCTACTCTGTGAACACCACAAACAACCATGAATCCAATTTGGTATGTCCCACAACAGTCTGTCTTCCACAAAATTATTTCAATGTGATTCTTCTTGTGACTCTAAACACTGGAGGATCATGAGTCTTGTGCTTGCATCATTCCAACATATTGCAGAGCTGTGCAAGTTCCATGCTTCTGAGATAGACAGTGGACAGAGCAGCAGGAGATTGTGTTTTTTGTTTTAAAAAAGGCCTGAAAAGGATGAGAGATGGAGGACATGGGGGATGGAGAAAATTGCATGCTGGGAAGTTGACTCCTTGCTTCCAGTCACTCCTGCTTAATGTGTTCTGCCCCATTCAGTCTTGCCAAAACTTCCCAAAACACAGTGTGCTGAATGGTGGTCAACTGCACAATGGTAAAAGAACTTCATGCTGAGTAAGTGCAGTGTGGATGCAAGAAGCCACGTATGTACATATGATATAAAAACTGCAACAGCTTTCTGTGTCAATATAATTTGCATGAATCAAAATTGGTAGCCAGGGCTTTAAAGAACACTGAACTTCACTGGTACTTTCCTTTTTGTTAGTTTGACAATTAGGTTTGCTTTGGCACTAAAGCTATGAAAGGGGAAATTTGAAAACGGCAAATATATCCTGTGGATTCACAGTTGAGAATCGGGAGGTGAAGAGTACTCCTTGTCTTCCCATGCTATGAGGAGATAGAAAGGGGATTCCTGCCACCAGCCCCTTTCCCCCATGAAGTTTCTTGGAGATAAAATGCAGCTAAATGAACAGCAAAGGTGAAGGGCAGTAGTTACTAACAAGGCAGAAAAATATTGATGCAGTACCTTTAATCCCAAAGTACACAGTAGAGCTGATTGGAAGGGATGAAAAAAAAAAATCTTTAGATGAAAATGTTTGAAGTTCTATTTTCATAAATATTTTCCATTTTATACTAAAATAGGATAAAATGGTTTTGAACAGGTCTCTCATATGTACAGAATAGCACTATAATTCGGGGGGGGAGGGCAGCAGTCAGAGATGCAGCAAACCAATGCAGGTTCTGAGACCAGAACAAGCCTCATACAGAGGGTTTTAATTTATTAGTGTCCATGCAGAGCAGATAGGACCTGGTTTTTTAAAAGCTCTTAGGATGCAGCTTCCTGATACTAAAATGTGCTCCTCTTGGAAGGATGGAGAGCTGAACTGTCCACACTGGAACTGAAGCAGTGATTCTAACTAACAGCAATGCTATCTAATCCCAGGTGAACAAGGGGTTAAATCAAAGCCTAACTTCCCCTTGCCTTAATGCAGATACTCAGAGGAAAGTGTGACTTAAGGAACTGTTAGTGCACATCTTTGGGAAGCCATATGAGCCCCCACTGCCTGAGGTCATAAGACAAAGCTGAACTCTATGTCCTGGGGATCTTTTCTTCTGTTTACAGTAAGAAAAGTTAGAAAGTAAAACATTAAAAAGAAAAAAAAACCTACGGCTTACTGTAATACCTTGAATTCCTGACCAAATGCTCAGCTGAAAATTATTTCATAGCACATGCATGGGGGGAGGAGAGGGGGGAGGGAGGAAGAGAGGAGGCGGGGAGGGAAGTCACTATAAAGGATAAAAGTTTCCAATTTAATGAACTTTAAAAGATAGATTTTTGCTTTTGCAGCCTTAAGATCTGGATTTATAAAACCAGAATTTACAACAGTTTTATAAGCAAAGAACACTCTTAAGAGTCATCTCAATTACAACAATCTGAATCCCATTGTTAGAGAATGTTTTTTCACTGGTCAAGCAGCAAAATATTAAAACTTCTTGTTGCTACTTACATTTGTTTTGAAAACATTTTCCCCCTCCAATCTTCTTACATACAATATTTAACGAGCATCACACACCATCTGAATTTTCCCTTAGTAATGCTGACCGGGAGAGAAAGAGGAAATCATCTATATATGGCATGGAATTCCTCCCTCCTCTTCCTAGTTCCAAGTTTTTCAGTTCCCATAAGTGTTCTCTTTCCTTCTCCTTCCCTCTCTCTTCTTTCCTTCCATTACCCTTTCTGAAGCTCACTACATCTTTCATTTTATTTTTTTCACGGTATTTTAACCTGTCCCCCAGGTACAGTGTATCCATGAGGCAACTCTTTTGAAACCAATGCTGAACTATGCGCTGAACAAAACAGTATTGCGAAAGTGTCTTCCCAAGCAGAGTTCCTTATTCTTGAACATCAGGCAGTCTTTGCTAGCACTTTCTAGCAACTACTAGATTCAACACAAAACTTTTTTTAACCAATACTATCAGAACCAAACAAGTAATTTTTACTCCCTTTGTATCTGTTTTCTTTCCTCCCTAGATTCCTCTCATCTACTTATGTAGGCAGTAGTAACACTGCCCCAATACACCTAGAGTGCCAAAGCTGTTGGACTATGGCATTCTAGTCAAAACAGGGCCCACTCAACGTTACCTACCATTGCAGGATGATATACTAGCTTCATCCTGCCCTGCTCTGACACAAGACATCTTAAGTTTCAGTGTAGCCACATTTAGGAGCAAATACTCTAAAAATAGCTCAGACATACAAAACACTTGTTGAAAATGGGAAACGCTTGAAAAGCTGTATCAGATACATTATACATCCCTCCCTCCCTCTAATCTACAATAATCATCTTTGTTCTTTGACTGATTGCCTCCTGTAAGTAGGTAGGTAAAGTGTGTTATACAGCTTTGCATTCAGGGTCATGTTCCAGGGACACTGATCCAGACACACAAAGGGTATATTTCTGTGCCATATTTGATTGGTTTTCGACTGGAGTTGGGTCTACATCAATTCACGCTTCTAATGCCAAACATCAATATTTCAGCATAATGATGCCACTGTATTTTGTTTTTTAAAAAAGTGTAAAGGTACCAGGAACAGCCTGACAATCTTGGAAAGAGGATCAATGTAAGTGCTTTATGAAATATCTCCACATACATAAACAGGGAGAATATTTTCAAAACATATCTGACACTTCTTTACTTTCTGAAGCAGAAAACAGGGCCACAGGGCTTTATACCATTTGCTCCCATTTTCTTTGAAATACACACCACACAGATTCATGGTCCAATTCAACAGTCTTCTTCATGAGACTGTAAAGCCTGTAATGAATAACAGCTATCAATATGCAAAAACTCCTTTTCAGCAGAATAATTACATTTACACCAGTCACATTAGGTGGCTGGCTAAACAAACACACGTTCACACAAGAATAAGTCAACCGTCGTAATAAGGATTTACTTTAAACAGAACCTTGAATGGGTACACTATACTCAGTCTCATTATCAGCGAGTTGATTGAATATTTATAGAGCACGAGCCATAGGCAATCTAAAACAGACCCACTGAAGAATGGAATGGAGAGTCAGAAATGCAAGATTTTAGACCCAGGCTCAAGGTGCCTTTAATACTTCCTGTGTTTGTTTGTTTTTTAACAAGAGAGCAAGCACGCACACAAGGGAGTGTGCTCAACAGGTGTTTTCATTTATCATGTTTTTAACTTCTTTTCTGATGAAGAATTCTCTGAATCTGTGTCTTCAAACTCTGCTCTGTGCCTTTTCAGTCCTCCAAGAGTTTGAGAACTCTCAGTGTCTGTCAGATGCAAGTTGCTGATATCCTCTTTCATGACCACACTGTAACTGCTGGAGTCCGTTTCAGACAGACAACAGTCTTTGTGCAAGGTCACACCTGTCTGTACAAGGTTGCCATTATCAGCATTTACATATGGTTGTAGTCCTTGGGTCACAGTCTCCTGCTCTCCAACTCTCTGTCCATTGTTGAAGTATGAAGGGCAAGGATGAAAGTGGCCATTATTGTGATTTACACAGGACATCTCAACATTCCTGGCTTCACTGTCATCAGTCTGGTTTCTGGAGTAATTACCAGATCCACTACAGATGCCAGCAGCAGACAGTGAATCCTTGGAAATAGCCAATGAGTGGTGGCTTGATGCTGGTTGACAGTTCTGGGTGCTCTTCTGTTCTAGAAGTCCTGAAGTTTGAGTGCATGGCTCTTCAGTGCGACTATTTAGTTCTTTGCAGATGGCTTTTCCATTGAGCTTTTTAGTCTCAAAAGAATGTTCCACAGACCCACCGCTGACATCTTGGGATGTGCTTCCTTGATCCTCCGTCCATTGCTGATTGTCGCATTCATGATCCTGACCATTACTAGAGTTTTCTACCATACAATATTCTTTTAAAGTTTCTTTGCTGTGGCTTTCAGTAAAAATATCTTGGACACCATGAGGAACTAATAAACTCAAGTTACTAGCATCTTCCTTATTTAAAGAGAGTGCTGTACTGTGTCTTCCACTAGTTCCTGGTCTCCCCTCATCATTTTCCCCCTCTTCATGGGAGGATTCACCATCTTTACCAGTTGAATAGGATATATAAGAATACTGAAGCCATTTGTAAGCCTTGTAAATCTTCCTCTCTACTGATTCACTATCTGAGCAAGGATAAGCCCTTTCTTTGAGGACCTCCATGTTAGTGGAACTTCTTCCAGGTGAAGAAGCTGGAGAAGAAGAAAGATCATCTACTTTGATCTGTGGGTAATCATAGATATCCTCACCTATGTAGGTGCTCACATTTTCTGGATTTGTACTAGTCCTCTCTTCCCTTTGCATTTTCTGTCGTCGTCTCAATGCATTGCGTTGACGTGTCGATGCACGCCGTTCATTCAATTCCTCTTCATCGTCTGTGCTGCTACTACTGCTGGAACTGCTAGATTCGTTCTCTTCAGGACTTGGGGACCGTGGCCGTGGGAAAAGGTCTGTGTCCAGTTCTGCCTCACAGGTATTTTCATCAGAATCAGACTCATTGGAAAGAGCCAGGAGACGTTTATCCTGATATCTTCTAAGGGCAGATAACCTCTGTTGACGAGAAGCCACATCTTCTCTCACTGGTGGAGATTCTGTTGATCTTAAGGTGCCCAAGTTATAGGCCGTTTCATCTGATTCTTCTGCCATTTGTGGTGGGGAGTGATGCAGAGAGGCAGAGGATTCTGATTCACTATAACCCGAGCGTTCACTTACTCCAGCATGGAGCTGTAGGATGGTGCTTTCACTAAGGTCACTGTCCGAGTCAGAACTCCAGCCTTCAATCTCCCGGCGCACAAGAGAGTCAAAAAATGCCATCATTCGTGGATCTTCTTGGACAGATTGGTTGGCATAATCGTGGGACAGGCCACTGCCACTGTTCAGCACAAGACTAATGTACTCTTCATGAGTGTAGAGGCAACGTGAATCATCCTCAATTCTACCATCCAGATCTCCTGTGCAGTCAGGCTGCTTATAAGGACTCCAGATCTGTGAAACAGAAGAATACATTAATTAATATTAAAAAAGCTACACACAGACATATACAATTTAAACCATTTCAAATGTGAGAGCAATACAAACGCAAATATCATGTTTTAGACTTAATTATCCCCCACCCCCAAACAAGAACTTTTAGTACTTGGAGAACTGTTCATTTTACACCTTTCCACATAAAAAAAAAAAAGAAAAAAGAAAAAAAGGGGGAGTTCTCTCCCTTGACTTTGGAAGCTCACATCACGAACCCCCAATAGGTTCAGAATTTCAGACTATAATATTTATTGTAAAAAATCAGTGTTCTATTTTTGTAGAAATAGGTGTTGCTTACTCACTATGGGTAAGAATAATTTGTTGCCTACAGTACAGTCTAAGCAATAACGAAGGCACTTGTTTCCCAGGAAACTAGGATCACTTGAAATGATGATGTGCAGTGCCATTTCATCCAGTTGAATATTTATACCTGCTCAGTGACCAGGAAGCTGAATGAATGGAGATAATAAGCTAGCTTTTACTAGTACAGCTGCTAAACAGTCCTTAATTAAAAAGTTCTGTAAGAGATTGACTTCCCTATTCCTTGATGTCCTGGAGATCAAGGGACTTCCTATTATAAAGGCCCAATTGTCAGTCCCTTAGAACTTGACCAAACTAGTTGTTTGGGCTGTCCATGCTGGGCAGCTGCCCCAGGCTGAATTTTTTGGAAAAATTATAGAAGAAATGGTCTTGAGCCATTTCTGGAAGAAGGTGGGGGAAGAGGACACGTGGAAAGGGCAGGGCCTCTGGTGCAAGGAGCAGAGTTGTGAGCTAGCCTCCCAAAGCTGATGGTTCATGTGCTGCCCATGCAAACTGCATATGTGCCAATCCACACAGAGCAACTGAGCATGCTCCAACCCAGAGATGCTTCTACTAGCAGCCAAGGACCACTGGAACTGGGAGCAGGGGACTGTGGGTTTGTCTTCACAGCAAGAAACTCATGCAGTTGGCCCTTCCTGGGTGACTTGGGCTACGGCACTATTTCATTCAGATGAAGGCTAGAGCTGGGACTCCATGACCTCCCAGAGCCTCCAAAACCCTGACCCGGCCTGATCTTGTAGAAGTGTCTCTGAAGGAGTCTCTCCTGGCTTGGGAACAATTGGGACACCTAAGAGGGGTTTCTTTTATCAACTAAATACCCAGACAGAACAAGCAAAAGGCCCAGGCAATGACCACACCACAGGATTGGAACAAATGAAAATAATAAGCTTGGCAGGTAACAATCCTTAAAATATTTAATCTACCAATAGCCAGAGGAGAGGCCATGAAAACTACTCACAGTTATCCCAAATTTTGGTTTTAAAGCTGGGGGATGGCAACTGAAATCTGAGGGTATGTCTACACTGCATTCCTCTTTTGAGAGAGGAATGCAAATGCAGCTGAGCGAAATTGCAAATGAAGTGCGGATTTGAATTTCCCATGCTTCATTTGCATAATCATGTCCGATCACTTTTTTGAAATACCCTATTTAAAAAAAAGAAACGCTGTCTAGACACGGTAATTTCAAAAAGAAAACCCTTCTTTCGAAATTATCCTTAAACCTTATTTTATAAGTAGTGATGCTGTTAATTTAAGTGAATATAATTAGAGCCACCTGATTACATCGATTATCCTATCAAGCAGTAGCAAATAGCCATGTCACCATAGCAACAAGGGTGAAAAGATTTCCCTATATTTGATATCCTGGCAATTTTCTAGCAAGTGGAATATCATCACTCATCTTCAAACTCCACAGCTACTTTCATTTTAGGATTTAATACAAATGGCCTTCATTCTTAAAACTCTCCTTGGACTTGCTTTAGGTTATGTCCATTGGATATCTCTCTGTACTCCCTGCATCCCCTTCCCAGCTGCACAGACCTCCTCTCTGAGGCCCTTTTCTGAGTTTCACAGGTGCTGTGAGAGTGTCTCTCATCTGCATCTTTTGCTGTCAACATTTTTTCGTTTTAACGTGGAATTTTAAAGGATTTTGCAATGCAGTTTGTAAGAAAGGTGTTAGTTTAAATAAAACTGCAAAGGGAGCTATGAAGCCAGTAGCTTTCAAAACCATGTCCTCTCTTCAGAATAGCTGCACTTGGAAGCTATACAAGATGGTTGCCTACCTCTCGGAACTGTTGTTCTGAGATGTGTTGGTCATGTCCATTCCAATAAGCGTGTACTCACAGCATGTTCACAATTGCTGGAAGAATTTCTCTTAGAAGTTCCCATTGGGTCAATTGCAGAGCCTCTGGAGTGGCACCTTCACAGCACAGTATATAGGACACTGCTACCCCACTACCCCTTCAGTTCCTTCTTGCCTAAGCATTTGACAGAGGGGAAGTGTGCAGGACTGGAATGGACAAGAGCAACACATCTTGAAGAACCACATAGCAGCCTTGTGTGCTGAAGTAGCACTGGGTGGTGGATCCACAAGATAGGGTCTCAGTGCCAGGCCCAGTTCCCTTTGTGCAGGCAAGTTTACCTCCTCTCTCAGAGTCTGGTGCCAGTCAGGCATGGTGGAAAGTAGAGCAAGAGGCATGGATGCCACAGATGTGGCCCTAGAGTCAGCCCCTGAGCCTGGTGGTAAGCCCAAGGCATCCAAAAGGACCCGCCAATGCTGTGACCACTATGGCATCAGTGCCAGCACATCCTGTGATCTAGGATGCCAGGATCTAGAGCAGTGCTGTCTGGGTCTGGAGGCTTGTCTGGTGCTGGACTACTGGTGCCGCTGATGATGGACAGGAACTGAGTCGCCAGAGATGGTGGTGCAGAAGTTTGCATAGGTACGCTATCGGTGCAGGAGTTGACATCACTGCCCTCCCCTGTATCACCAGAGTGTGCACCATCATGGTGATAAGATCTCTGACAGCCTTCAAGATAGCAGGTGTGGCAGGGAGACCCCACTCCTCCAGCTCCTCATGAGTAAAACATCCACTAGCACTAGACTTGTTGAGCCCCAATGTGGATGCTGTAATTTGCTGCCCCAGACTTCAGGTGCCCTAACTTAGGACCCTACCAGAATGTGCCCCTTTTGGAATGCCTGGCAGGTGACCGCAGAATGAGAACAGTGCCACATGCTCGAGCATGCTTGGTGAGATGGGAAGCAATGCTGGTGCTCCCTTATGGCACTCTGGGTGCCCAGGGATCCTGCACGGAGGCCAGCACACTGCTTGCTGCTGTGCCAAATCCAAATTCTGTTCCAGCAGCGTTTGGGACGAAGTGTTGCCTCCATTAGCAGGCGCTTTTTGTAAAGGTTGCGTTCTTTGTCCTCAGAGCTGTTCATAGGCAGACATGAGGCCTGGGTCAACCCTCCACAGTGCCCTAGGCATGGGGCCCAGGGAAAATCCCCTGCTGCAGACCATGCCCCCACCCTGACTCTGCTCCACCTGCCCCACCCCCCCTTCCCATACCCAGACCCTGCCCCTCCTCCGCCCACATCCTTCCTTGCTCCCCCTCCCCAAGCAACATGGCAGGGGTGGGCAGCAACAGGGGACTGACACCCCCCCCCCCCCGCGCCCTGCCCTCACAGCGACAGCAGGGAGCAGGAGCAACCTAGCAGCCTGCTCCACCCCACCACGCCACGCTGTCCTCCCAGCTCACTGCACCTTGTTTCTCTGTGGCAGCAGAAAGGAGAGTGCCCTATGGGTGGAGCGTTCTACTTGGCTGGGTCACTCCACTTCCCATTGGTGTGGAGTGGCTGGTGTGGTGGGGCACAGTGGAGCAGGCTGTCGGGCCGCTTGTATTGCACTGTAGCATCTCAGGAGTGACCCTTCCTGCTGCCTTTTGCCAGGCCCCGTAATTTCCTAGATCCCTCCCCTCCATAAGATGGTTGAAGCAGCTGCTGCAGAGCCACCCAAAGTATGGGGCCACCCCAATTTGTCCTATGGATGAGATGGTTTGTTCTATTCCTGCAGCTCTTGCAAATAGGGGACTTGTCAGTTTGATGGCCTTATCCCCGGCACTTGAGGCATGAAGAGTGTTGATCGCTCTTGCAAATAGGCTTCTTGCAGCTCTCAAAGGACTTACATCCTGGAGACTGTGACATGCCCTGACCAAGAGACCTTGAAACAGAAAGAGACTGTGGGGAAGGGAGGGAAGACCCCCTGAAACTAACTGAATCGAGCTACTACAACTATAAAGCAAACTACATACAGCTAACTATGGATACCACTAACAGTGCTTTCAAAGTAGGAGCACAAAGAAACTCCAATGACCACCACAAGTGATAAGAAGGAACTGAAGGGATGGTGGGGCAGTGTCCTATATTCTATGCCATGAAGGCACCACTCCAGGGGTCTCTACAGCTGACCCGACGAGTATCACTAAAGGGAAACCTTTCAATGATCACGCACACAACATGCACTCCCACCAGTGGAATGCACGTGAGCAATCACTCAGAGAAGAGCCATGGATTAAGGCATCCAACATTTCCTCTCTCATCGTATGCATTCAAACACTTTAATCCTAAGCAAAATGAACATGGGAGTGCTCAGTCAGAGCTGTTTAAAGTACAGGCAGTCCCCGGGTTACGTAAAAGATAGGGACTGTAGGTTTGTTCTTAAGTTGAATCTGTATGTAAGTCGGAACTGGTGTCCAGATTCAGCCGCTGCTGAAACTGACCAGCGGCTGACTACAGGAAGCCCGAGGCAGAGTTGCTCTGCCCTGGGCTTCCTGGAATCAGCTGCTGATCAGTTTCAGCAGCGGCTGACTTGGGGATGCCTGGGGCAGAGCAGCTCGGGTGCTGCTGGGTTGGTCCAGTAGCGCCGAGGAGCGGCCGCGCTACTGGACCAACCCGGCAGCACCCCAGCTGTTCTTCCCCAGGAGTCCTGATTCAGCTGCTGCTGATCAGTTTCAGCAGCGGCTGACTTGGGGATGCCTGGGGCAGAGCAGCTCGGGTGCTGCTGGGTTGGTCCAGTAGCGCCGAGGAGCGGCCGCGCTACTGGACCAACCCGGCAGCACCCCAGCTGTTCTTCCCCAGGAGT